CTGGGGGATGATTTCTCGCTTTCTGTCTCTATGTCTCTCTCTGTCTGTCTGGAGAGCGCATGCGCCTTATAGCAAAAACCTCTCCAAAAAAAAGAAAAAGAAAGAATAAAAAAAAAAAAAGAAAAGAAAAGAAAAAGGAGTTCTGTAGCATCTAGCTAGAGAGGGCAAAGGAAGACTATGATTTGGTGAATGTTGCCCTGAAGAGGGGAAAGAAGGAAGCTGAAGCTGGGGCAGACAACCCTCGGCTGTGAACCAGGGCACTCAGGCACCCCTTTATCATGACAGTGCTGCATCCTGACCATCTGCATAGGCTGCTGTCTTCCAAATGCAGCCATGGCATCTAGCCTATTTTTGAAGCCCTGGTTCTCAGAACATTGAATCCAAAGAAAAACTCTCCAGGAGTTCAAATCCAGCAAAGAGAAATGGGAGGTCTGGACCTGTCACCCTGGCTAAACATTTTATACAATGTTTAACAAAAGCTAAGTCTCTCAATTTGCAGTTGTAAATCAACAGGCACTCTCACCCCGAAAAGGGCCTCAGTCTTTATTCTGGGTTACTCTGGTCATAAGAGCTGGGGAGCTTCCATGTCTTCCAGCAAGCGCAGAGCCAGTCAAGGCAGGTTTAGAACAAATACTGGATTTAAATTATTCCTGATTTAGTTTAGAACTCTTTCCAGTCCCACATCCCCCCCCCACCGCCACCTCGTGACTGGCTTACCTTCTCTCTCCTTAAACTGAAAATGAATCAGTCTCTATGTTTTCACATTTCCATGTGGAGTAGAAAGCACATTCCATACACCTGACCCCAGAAACTCATTAGTAAATGCTGGAGACTTCTAGGTGTTGATGTAAAGAAGGGACACCTGGATCCACATTCACCTCATTTATTCTGGAAAAGGCAGCAATAATTGCTGCCGCTGCTGCTGTTAGTAACAACAGCCGTTAATGTTCATTAAGCACGTACTGAGCGCTGCGCTAACAATATTACATGTATAATCTCATTTAACCTTCACAACAATGACAGGCTCTTTCTGTTACAATTTCTCAAGATGAGGAAATGGGCTTAAATTGAAAAGAAGGTAAATGACGTGCCCAAGCAAATGGTGAAGCTGGAGGTTGAAGTCACGTAACGTCACTCCGGAGATTGTATCTTAACACTAATTATTAGCTAATAATTCTTTTATTTTCTTTTAACAATTTTTTTTTACCAGAGAGAGACAGAGAAAGGGAAAATTAGCAGAAATCATCCTCTGAGGGGATGGCCACATTGCAATCCCTTCTCCTTTCTCCTCTTAGGATTTTGGATATGCATGCACACACATCCGGTGTGCTTTTTGAAGCTGCCAGGTCCAGGACTCGAACCATGGTTAGCCATATGGGAGTCTAGCACCTTAACCATTATGCCACCTGATGGCCCTCATTAGCTAGTAATTCTTTTTTTTCTTTTTTTTTTTTTTTTGAGAGGTTTTTGCTATAGAGTGCGTGCACTCGCCAGAAAGACAGAGACAGAGAGACAGAAAGCGAAAATCACCCCCCAGGGGGATGGCCACGCCGCAATCCCTTCTCCTCCATTCTCCTCTCAGGATCTTGGGCACACACGCACAGGCGCCTGGCGTGAGTTTAAGCCACCGGGTCCGTGTCTCGAACCACAGTCGACTGAAGTCCAGCGACATAGCCATTACGCTAACTGCTGGTCCCGCATTAGCTAGTAATTCTTAATAAATGGTGCCATCCTACTTCACCATTATTATTTTTTTAATTTACGAGAAGGCATGTACACTCACCAGAGGGAGAGAGAAAATCCCCTCAATGGGGCATAATCATGCCACAATCCCTTTTCTCCATCTTACTGGGATTTTGGTCACACACATGCATCTGAACTGTTGTACAAGCTGCTAGGGCTGGGATGTGAACTGCTATCATCTATCTGGGATTTAGCTTCCTTACATACTGAGCTGTGGGGCAGGCCCCAGTGCTTGCCAGAGAGAGACAGAGAGAGATAGTGAGACAAAAAGTGAGAAAGCCCATCCCAGGAGGGATGGCCAGAATGCATTCCCTTCTCCCCCATTTCCCTCCTGGGATTTTGGGCATTGATGAGTTTCTAGGTGCCGGATCTGGGATTCAAACTTCAATCAACTGTCTGGGAACCCAGTGCCTTAACTACCATGCCACCTACTGTCCCGCAGCATCCTTACTTAAAAAAACAGAAAACAAAACAAAACAAAACCACCAAAAGCAAAAAAATTAAATGATAGTTCTTTCATTTTGTTTATATTAATATCCAAAAGCAAGATAAAATATTATTTTGAGAGAGTTTTTTTTTTTTTTTTTTTTTTTTTTTTTTTTTTTTTCACTAGATTTTTTTTTTTTTTGGTACAGGGCAATTGCACTTGCCAGAGAGAAAGAAAGACAGAAAGTGAGAAGTCATTCCCCCAGGAGGGATGGCCACACCGTAATCCCTTCTCCTCAGGATTTTGGGCATGCAAGCCCATGTGCCCAATGTGAGTTTTAAGCATTCAGGTTCAGGACTTGAACTGTGGTGGACTACGTAGGAGTCCAGCAATGTAATCATTACACCATCTGCTGGTCCTGACAAATGACTTTCTCTAATGTAAAATAAAAACTATATGAGACAGTAGGAAATTAAAGAAAAAAACTACACAACATACTTGTAAAATACGATCCCCTTCTCGAATCCGGCCATCTTTGGCAGCAATGCTGTTTGGATCTACCTGTAAGGGAGAGGACACACATCTTCAACTGGATATGCAATATTCCACCAACAATTCTAAAAACATGACTTCAAAATGTGTTTTTAAAAATCTGGTTAAAAATTCTCTATTGACTTAGGACACAGTGCATGTATATTTTTCTCTGTTAAACATCACTGATTCTGGGGGCCAGCATATGGCCTGTTACATGAATGGACTCCCGTGGTTTGAGTCTTGAACCCAGTGGCTTGACACTCACACCAGGTGTGTGTGTTTGCGTGCCCAAGATCCCAGGAGGAGAATGAAGGAGAAAGCATTGTGGTGTGGCTATCCCCCCAGGAGGGTGACTTCTCACATTCCCTCTCACTATCTCTGCCTTACTCTCTCTCTGGTGAGTGCAGGTGCCCTAAGGCCAAACCCCCTAAAAAAATCACTGATTCTGAAAATGTAAATAGACTATTTTAGACTTAGCAATAATGAAATTGGTCAGGACTAGAGAAGAACTTGATTGAAAAATCATTTTCCCTCCCTGTCCCTCCCTCTTTCACTCCATTTCTTTGTTCCATTTCCTTCCTTCTTTTTGCACGTTCATTCCCTCATTTCTGAATCCCAGCTGTCAGATACGGGTCTTCAGCTGATATGGGATGATGTTAATACTAGGATTCTCTGGACCCAAGAAATTTACTTTCTACTATGGTGATTTTTAAATACTGCCTTGCTGTCTTGGAAAAGCTGACAGCTATGCTGTAAGTCCATACTTATTAAAGGGATTTCTAGCTCCTGAGTATATTAATTTATAAAGAGATTTACAATCTTTATTGCTCAAGAAAAAAATCCTATCTATGCATGTTATTACTCGGCACTACTTTACATATAGGTTGAAGTATATTAACTATACATTATTTTAGAATAAATAGCTATACAGGCTCTTTAAGAACTTATCAACATTTTAATGGGTCAAACTTGAGTGATGACTTACAGTGCAATAGGGGTAATTCCACCTATCAGATTTCATGTGATGGCTTCAAGCCATTTATTTGGGTTTGTTTCAGCAAAGCCATTTTTCAAGCAAAGTATTTCAAGTGTAGCATGGTTTTGATCCATTCTATCCAGATGTTAAATATTACTTTATCGGGATGCCACCTGATAACTGAGACTTAAGTAACAAATCAAGAACAGAAGACACTACAATTACACTAAGAGGTATATGGAAAACCTTCCTTTCAGGTTCCTATGTTCAGTTCCTGTGGCTTTCTCATCCCTGAAAAGTGAAGTTCCAAATTTAACATATTTAAACAGTAAATAAAGACTTGTTAGAAGGAAATGAGAGATGATGAATCAATTGTTTCCCATGTAAAAGCCATCACAGTCTAAAACTTTGTCTTTAGTACTGTCATCAAACTGATATTAAACTTCTGCCTTTCGATTTCTGTACATATTACAAAAGATAATTCAGCAGGTCTTTCCTTATCCTTCCTCACCTTAATCAGAGGGATTATTGTAGCTGTACGTTTCACAGAAGTAAGTAAGCCAAATATTCTCTGGAGATTTTTCCACTGCAGGAGCCAGTCAGTGATAAAGAGTAATGTTTTACATTTGCAGAGCTGTGTAGTTTTCCAGATGCATTAATTACCTCATCTCCTCTATATTCTAAACAAAACTCTATTAAAAACAATGAGATAACCTATATTGTAGTTTTTAGTTGAAGAGCCTGGAGTTCAGTATATTACATAATATTTTCAAGATCATGGCCAAGAAAACATGGAGCAATATGGAATAGCAATTAGTATCAACTCTAACACCTGCATGTAGTTTACAGAAGTTAGACTGTATATGTACATACATAGTCTACACATATGTGCATGTGTGTATTTGTATACATATGTTCATTTGTATACATATATGTATATATAATAATAGATGTATTATTTAATATATGTAGTATAAAATACATTTACACATTACATAGATGCATGCAAATACGCCAATGTGCATGTGTATAGACTATGTATGTATATATACAGTCTAACTTCTGTAGAAGTGACTTACATTATACTATTTACTTACATATGTTATTTAATGTATGAAAGTTTTAATTGTATGCAGTATATGCAGTATATATAATGAAAGTACACCATATTACTTCTTTTTTTCCTGTTTTTTTTTTTTTTTGAGAGGTTTTTGCTATAGGGAGCAAGCGCTCGCCAGAAAGACAGAGAGAGACAGAGAGACAGAAAGCGAGAAATGCCCCCTCCGGGGGGTGGGGTACAGCCATGCTGCAATTCCTTCTCCTTCATTCTCCTTTTGGGATCTTGGGCACACATGCACATGCGCCCGGCATGAGTTTAAGCCACGGGGTCCAGGACTTGAACCACGGTTGACTATATGGGAGTCCAGCAACATAACCATTCCGCTAACTGCTGGTCCCACTGTCTTACTTCTCATAAAATGTTTTAGGGAGTTTTCAGAAATCACCTAGAGCCATAAAGTTTGTTTCAGACTCTCAATCAACACCAAAGATAACACACATTTAAGTATCTCACTTGAAAGTGATTAAAGGGTCGAATAAAACAAACCAAAAATAGATGCACTCCTTCAGGATTCAAATTTATCAAGCCTATCAGCAGAATAAAAGATGTGAATATTAATTTAAACAATTAGCTAATGCTGTTGTTACCAGAACTAATAAAAGACACAGTGGACTGGAAGGACAAATGTTTTGGATCAAAAACTTTGCTTGACTTCCTGTGTTCTTTAGGGAATTTATTCAAATTTAGACAATGTTACCACTTTTGCACTTTTCCTTGCTGGAATTATGTGGTGAAAGCATTCACATTAAACAAGCTGATAATAATTACATTACTTGGGCAGCATAATTTACTTTTCTTAATTGAAACTGACACGTATTGGAAGAAGGCCAGTTCTTCACATTCAAGCCTCTGAAAGAAGGATTTTCTCACTGAGTCATTTCACTCCATTCCTCCCAGTCTCCCTCCCCTAAAGTGCCCTCCCCGGCATCTCTCACCTCACTGACATAAATGCCAGTGTCTTCTTCATCATCTGTTCGGTAACAGACTGTCAGGCCCAGCTTCTCTTGGCTGCTAACACGACACAACTCGACCTCCTGAGGAAAAAACGCGCACGGAACTTTTAGCTCAGAGAGAAACCCTACAGCAGAATAGGCCCCCGTTGATATATTCTAGGCCATCCTGGGAAGTTTTCATTAGTATTGTCTAACTTTTAAATGAACTTTTGCTACCAAAATCAGAATTTACCTTCAACCTGTATTTCTGTACTATCATATCAACATTTTGCTTTTCATTGTAAAGTTGAAGATATACAATTTTTGAATCAAATAAAAAACTTAGAATTCCTTAAAATTCACAATAAACTATAAATCAAATATGCATAAATCAATAAGGCTAAATTAATAAAATGAGAATGTCAAAATATATAGCATAATGTTCATAAAAACACTGAAAGTGATTGTTTTTATATATTTTTTCAAAAAAGGAAATAAGTTCAAATTAAAAAGAAAAAGACTAGGCTGAACTTCTTCCACCAATTCTTCATTTGCGTTCTATACAATATGATAAGCCAGTATTTTGTATAGGTCAAGCCAAGGTTGTTTATTATTTTGTAGAAATTCTTGCCTTTGGAAGGAAGTGGGTTTGTCCAGGTTAAAGGGAGAGACATCGAAAGTCATGTGGGGAAGAGGCAGTGGTAAATGAACAAGAAAATACATTTACTGAAACACATGGCTCAGGGGCTAGAAATGTCAGTCCTTAGGTAATGTATATTGGATCTATTTCCTGATTTATGTTCAGTAAAATAACAATAAATTTCCGTGTATTTCAGTTTTGTATAATGAAATGGGCTCTCACGACTTTCAGAAGCAGAGGACTTCAGGATAAATCACACAGTTCCAAGCATTAAAACACAAATTGATGCGCTGACCATGGAGACCCTGTTCTTGTTGGTGGCGAATGTTAAGTCTCTCAGGTCAATGACCAGATGAAGAAGGACAAAGTATATTTGACTTGGGAGTGAAGTCTGGAGAAATTTCTAGAACTCAGCCTCCATAGTTGGGAATCTGTCTGTCTTCTGTCTTGCATAATGCTCTTTTTCCAGTGCCTAGAACAGGTATAGTCTCAGTGAGGGCACCCAGTAAAAGCTACCTGAAGGCCGATGACTTTATTTCAAAATCTCCGCTAGTGCACAGAGGTTTTTGTAAAACAAGAATTAAGTAGTCTTCCCTCTGTTTGGAAATGCGTGTATGAGAAAAAAAGGATTATAGTGTTTGTAAACAACAGAGGGCCATGGCAAATGTTGTGTTCTCCCAAATTCATTTAGTGAAGTTTTACCCCTCAAGGTGATGGTATTAGCAAGTAGGGCCTTTAGGAGATGATTATGTCATAAGAGCTGAGCCCTCATGAATACAACTAGGGGTCTTATAGAAGGGGCCCCAGAAAGCTAGATTTCCTTTCCATCATGTGAGTATATAGCATGATATCACCATCTACTAGGAAGTGGGCCCTCACTGGCCCCTCAGCCTTCCAGCACCTTAATCTTGGACTTCTCAAGCTCCAGAACTGTCAGAAATAAGTTTCTGTTGTTTCTAAGCGACCCAGGTTATGGTATTTTGTTATAGTAGTTTGAATAGACTAAGATGTAGCATACCTATTTAACTGTCTAAAATCTGAAATAGTTACCGCACTGAACAAAGAAAAGTTTACTTTGACCACAAGAATATTTCCAAGAATGCTGTTATATTTGAAGAAATATTCTCCCTTTTAATTTCATATTTCAGTGAGGTCCTGTCACTGGATAATAACCATTTTTTAAGAAATGATATGCTATAGACTATGGGTATATCCTTAGTAAGGGGATTTGCTTTCATAAACTCCAGCGACCAATAATTTCACAGCTAATAGCCAAAAACACTAAATTCAAATTCTCTATCCTGAGACAAGTAATACAAATTGGGGAAATACATAAAGCTATGAAGTATTCTGATTTTCTGATAGGTGAGCAAAGATGCTTTAAATTACAGAACAGTGATTAAAAAGGCTATGGTGCATGCTGAACGATAATGGAAAACTGCTGAAAAATCCTTTCACCTAGATGAAGAATAGGTGATAGAGCCAAGATTTGGCACCAGAAACAAAAATGTGCACGCCATGTAAGGATCTTTGCAAAACTGGCAATAATTAATGCCTCCAGAGGGAAAGAATACTTAACTAAAACTGTAACATTAGGAAGGAGTTAACAGCAACAGGGAGCTTCAATTATAACACCAAGGTGTACAGTTAAGAAGTAAAGAAACTTGTGATTCCTAAGAGACCCCTAAGGAAACCCAAACACTCCATAAAGAACTGAGATGGGGACTTGTCAATCAAGAGAAATGAGGGCCTGCAGTCAACGCTGAAATCCCATCCAAGCTTTACCCAATACTGGGGAAGACATTTTCAAAGGAGAACATTTTTTTTTTTTTTGAGAGGTTTTTGCTATAGGGCATGTGTGCTCACCAGACAGGCAGAGAGAGACAGAGAGACAGAAAGCAAGAAATCACCCCCCGGGGAGGATGGCCACACCGCAATCCCTTCTCCTCCATTCTCCTCTCGGGATCTTGGGCACGCACGCATGAGTTTAAACCACCATGTCTGGGACTCAAACCATGGTCGACTATGTGGGAGTCCAGCGACATAGCCATTAGGCTAACTGCTGGTTCCAAGGAGAACATTTTTTTCAAGTGTTTTTTTTACATCCTTATTGCTGTGTCTCAAGATGGTGTTTGTTTAGAGACTATATATTAAACTGTTTTGGAACAAAATGGAATAAATCAATTAAAACGAAAAGGCAGAATACATTTGTACAGCTTCAATGCCATAAATCAATACATCTACCCACAAAGGAAAAGAGATAGAGATCCTAAGGTCCAATAGCTTTTTAGTATCTTCATTATGTGGGAACTAAGCAAAACTGTGAAACAGATTTCAGAGTTAGCTACCTAATCTTTGTTTTCAATAATCCCTCTTTCAAGACACTGAGCACCCTTCTATTTGCTCTTACCTACCAGGAGTCCCTGAGGTCTGATTATGTTAGGTTTGCTATTTTGCCTATCTCCTAGTGAAATCTGGTATGTGGTGCAGTTTTCCATTCTCTCATGGCTCGCTCTTGAGACATAAAGATAACTGATAAATAAATATCCCTTAACGGGATCATCATTAATAATTACTCAAATTGTGACCTACTCAGGGTTTGGGTCACACTGAGAAAGGCTAAAACTCAAAACCTTAACTCAAAGTACTGAGCTTATGGTGTTAAAACCTCTGGCACTTAAGGAGACCCATGGGAGATTTTTCAGATCCCACAAACTACCTAACACCAGTCCCAAGGGTGTGAACTTGTGATTCTTTCTTTGGTTGAGAATGTCTCAGACACTATATATTTTGGATGGTACACAGAAGCATGTATTTTAGAATCAAAGTTCCTTTAATTCTAGGACAAAATAACTTCCAAGCAGCTACCTGTAGGCCATTTTGTTTGTAAGAGGGAAAAGTGACTTGGTAAAGACTCTGATTACCTGAAAGGAGTTTTCCAGCACAGGTGTAATTAAGTATTCCTTTCACAGTGTGCCCACAAGCCTCTGACTTCTGAAGAAACAGCCTCCTGGTAGTAGAGAATGTTTTCCCTAACAACTTTTATACCTTTCCCTCCGTCACTAGGAAACTGTTTGATGAAAAACATTAAAGTGAACTGCTACATCTGTGCATTTTCTCCAAGGAGACACTGCGCGGGCCTATAGAAATCAAAGCCAAGCCTGCGTGGACAGCAGGGCTAACCATCCACAGGTCATTTGTGACAGGAGTGGACTCATCACTTCACACACTTGGTGAAACCTCATTCATTTTGCCTCAAACATGTTTTAAGATGTTATGTTCTGGGAAAGCGTATAAAATATCATCAAAAAAAATCAAATTGTGGTATCTAATCCTGTGAGAAATTATTATATGTAGATCGAGGGTGGTGTAGTGGGTTAAAGTTCATAAAGCTTGCTGTGAAATAGCTTTCTTTTTTTGGAGAGGTTTTTGCTACAGGGCGTGTGCGCTTGCCAGCCAGACAGAGAGAGACAGAGAGACAGAAAACAAGAATCAAACCCCTCCCCCCTTGCCAAGGGGGATGGCCACGCCGCAATCCCTTCTCCTCCATTCTCCTCTTGGGATCTTGGACACACAGGCACATGCACCTGGCTTGAGTTTAAGCCACCGGGTCTGGGACTCGAACCACGGTCGACCACGTGGGAGTCCAGAGACATAGCCATTACACTAACTGCTGGTCCCTGAAATAGCTTTCTAATCATGGAATGAGAAGAATTTTTTTTAACGTAAGTTGGTTGCACTATAGTGCTGTGACATTTTCATATATATATTTTTTTTCTTTGAGAGGTTTTCGCTACAGGGGGCGTGCACTTGCTAGAAAGACAGAGAGAGACAGAGAGACAGAAAGTGAGAAATCACCCCCAGGGGGGATGGTCACACTGCAATCCCTTCTCCTCCATTCTCCTCTCGGGATCTTGGGCACGCATGCACACGCACCCGGCATGAGTTTAAGCCACCGGGTCCGGGACGCGAACCACTATCGACTACATGGGAGTCCAGCGACATAGCCATTATGCTAACTGCTGGTCCTGAAATGTTCGTATTTTTATGATTGAGTTCAGGGAGAAACAAGGGCCTTGGAGAAAAAGGAAAACATAAACTTTTGCTTTCTAGATAGCACTCTAGATGATGGAGGAAGAAACAGGTTTAAATTACTACAGTGGTTTTCTGAGCAAAACTCTTGTCCAGTTCTAAATAATATTAAGGCCCATGCAGTGCAGTTTTTCCTCTGAGCAAGAAAGTTCAAGAGGTAGTCAACACTACTCAAGTCTGAAGAAGAACCCAAGCAAGACAGGATGGTCATTTATCAGCTGACAGTAAGGGGAGAGGGAGGTCTATTGCATCCATATGTTTATGGGTTTTTTTTATATTTTTTATTTATCAGACAACACACCCACCTTTACAAAAGCTTAGTTTTAATTGTTTTACATTTTGTAATGCTGATTAGTAATTAATGAAATGC